TATGCATAGGCCACATGACAGTTTTTAAGGTGCTGACAAGCAATCTGACCCCTCTTTAGGGAACCTGGACAAATGATTCTGCTTGCCCACTCTAAGCTAGGAATCGTCACGTGACTTGTCTGCCCAGCGAACGCTGAGTGGACGTGCTGTGGGGCTCTCAGAGCCAGTGGGTTGAACTGTTTTCTCTTCCTCCCAGCGTGGGATCAAGCATCTCTGGAGCCTGGTTCCTGAATGACTTTGGTGAGAACGGTGTCTGCTAACTCACAGTGGACACAAGAAATAACCCTTTGCTATTTGGAGCTACTAAGTTTATATTCTAATGTGTGTTGGTTGTTTAATACAGAAGAAGCTGTAATGTCCTATGGGTCTTAGTTTGTTTAGAAATGCCCGACTCCTCTAGTGTTCGGCAGCCAGTCAAAAGCAGCCTCTGTGAGGTCTCTGCCAATTGCTCCCAAAGTGGCACCAATGGAGACAGTTCTGCTGACTTACTGAACGTTAACCTCTGAGTACTACTCAAGTCTTCTGTACACCTATCATTGTTTTTATTTACAAGCCCAAGACCAATATACCTAGATAGTTTACAACATCAGGCCAATTTAAATGTTTTAGGTGCGCCAGTGGGGAGTTCTGGTGGAGGTGGGTTATGTATTGAGCTACTAACCCAAAGGTCTAGTGGTTCAAAACCACCAGCTGCTGCTCTGTGGAAGAAAGATGAAGCTTTCTACTCCTGTATGGGGTTGCAATCTCAGCAGCCCTCTGGGGGCAGTTTTACCTTGTCCCATTGGGTCTCTATGAGGCAGAATTGACTTGATGGAAGTGAATTTGAGTTAGGAATCCTGGTAGGGTAGTGGTTTACACATTCAACTGTGAACTACAAGGTCAGCAGTTTGAAACCTCCAGGCCCTCTGTTGGGGGGGAAATGAGGCTTCCTACTCCTGTAAAGAGTTACAGTTTCAGAAACCCACAGGGGCTGTTCCCCCCTGTGCTGTAGGGGCACTATGAGTCAGAATCAACTCAATGGCAAAGAATAAGGGTGGGAAGAAAGTGAAAGCAACGGATCTTTACCTCCTTCCTGTAGAATGAAACAAATCTGTTTCCATTTTACTTCATAAAGGAGAACCTTCAGTCAGCTAAGGCAAGCTCTTTCGACAATGTATTTTCCACGCATACAAAAGCCAGGCTTACTAAAGCATAATTTAGCTGTTATATCACAATGCCAGGTTCCCAGAGTGTTCTTCCAAACCTGTTATAAGAGAAGTCATCAGAGCACCAAGGAGTCATGGTTTTAGGAGAAAGAAGACATTGTTCTCCACACTCATCAGTGGTCAGTTCTGTACCCACTAGGGTCCCTGCTCCAAAAAGTCAGAATCACCGGGGGAAGGGAAGACAGAAGAATTGATGCACATGAACTTCCCGGAGGTAGAGAATACGAAAGATACTTCCGGTTGACAAAAGAATGAACAAGGCCACGGCAGGATAAATTCAAGCTCACTTCCTTTGAGGTTGGAAAGGCCAGTCTCTAGAAGAGAACATCATGATTGGTAAGGCACAGGGTCAGCAAAAATGAGGAAAATTCTCAATGAACTTGATGGCCACCGAGCCACAAGCATGGACTTAAATATACCAAACTTTAGGAAAATGGTGCTCAAACTCAAAACTCAAAGTGACCCTATAGAACAGAGTAGAATTAACGCTGTGGGTTTTTGAGACTGAATCTTTACAAGAATAGGAAGTGTCATCCTTCTCCCAAGATGCTGCTGGTGGTTTCAATATCTGCTAACATTGTGGTTAGGAGACCAATGCATAACCCATTATGCCACCAGCACTCCTGCAGATGGTACAGGACCGGGTAAAGTTTTGTTCTATGTAAAGTCATCGTGAGCTGGAGCCTGCTCAACAGTAACCAATAGCAGCCACAACTCCCTGGGGGGAGGGAACGACTTGTTCCTTAACTCGACATAACAAATTAGAAAGCAAGCAGAAATCAAGACTCTAAGGGAAAGGGGCTAGTTTGACACTGGTGTAGGGTAAGGACATGATTTATGTCCGCTGGTTTCTGCTTTTATTTCATGTCCTAGAATATTTAGCTTCAATTGTTTAACACCAGAACCAGGATCAAAATGTGTTGTTGAGAAAGATCCAAGCAGGTTAGACAGAAAAGATAGACTAAGATGGGAGGAAGTAGCAGCTGAATATGTAAATTAGCTAATTTGAAATTACCTGCTAATTCAAATTAAGTCACATTAATTTCTCCAGAGGCTTGCAGGCGGCTTTGACTAGGTGGAGTGAGCAAAATGAAGCTGTTCTCCAATTCATCACTGAAAACTATCTATTGCTTTCATGTCTCAGAGGGACCTGGCCTTAAGTAAGCAGATTATGCTACTTGCTCTCCAGCAGGCTGGCGTGTGCTTGTTTTATTTTTATTTAAATACAGAGATGAAGCCAAGGCTGTTGGTAATATGATTGCAGGGTCCCCACTGGCAGATTTAATTCCTTAATACATTGGAAGGTGTCCAAGCTGTCCTCGCTCATCTGAGCATAGATGGATATAAATGGCCTGACCAATTAAGGACATCATCAATCAATGAATCAACCAATAGTCACTTATTGAACATCTATAGGATACCAGTTAAGCATTATGGAAGTTGTAAATATGCATAAGAATGTGTCTCTGTTCTTAAGGCATACATGAAATACTGACGTGTGTTTTTCAGCCTACTGTCTCCTCCCCAGAGAGGATCACTCATAGGGTAGTGGTTACACACTGAAAGATGACCGGCAGGGGCAGCGGCTGGAAAACATCTTTCTCCTCAGAAGAAAGACAGGCTTTCTACTCCCATAAACAGTGACAGTCTCAGAAACCCACACGGGCACTTCTGCCCTGTCCTATGGAGTTACTATGAGTCAGAACTGACTCAATGGCAGTGAGTTTAGTATTTTACAGTATTCTCCTGATTCACACAACAATAGCAGTGACTACCTATTGGTTCATCCAGAGTCCATGACTGTTCTGATGGCATATTAGATAGCCCTTCCCTGATAAAAAGGGTCCTTTGGGTGCTGTGAGTTAAATATTGGTTGGCTCATTGTAAGCCTGTGGTTCAAACCTACCAACAACTTCTTGGGAGAAAATTAAAGCTGTCTGCTCCATAAAGATTTATCATCTTGGAGATACTAGGTTGAGTCATTATGAATTGGAATTGACTTAGGGGGGTTGTTTTTGTTGTTTTTTGGGGGGGAGGGCTAGGTGGTACAAATGGGTAATACATTTAGATTCTATGGTAGGTACATAATTTCATCAACTTGATAAGTGTAGGGGTAGAGTCTAGCATGCCAATCAGGTCACAGCCTGATGAAGCCTCCTAGTGGGCGTGGCCTTCTCGTGAGGATTCTGGGAACTTCCTCTCTCTGTATACTTTCATCTTCTTGTTGACAAGCCACACAGAGACTTGCTGAGACCTGCGAGGAGCCCCTCTCTCTGCTCCACCTTCCCGTTGAAGAGTCACACTCAGAGAGCTGGAAGAACCATGCGGAGACCCGCCCCTCCAGCACTGAGATGCTTCCACAGCCATGGGATCCACAAGACTTTGCACCCACCAGCCTGTGATCTTCCTGCATTTTGCATCATTGTGTGGGACTGTGCGAGTCTGAAGAAAGATTTATGAACTAGTATTGGACTTATGGCTTAATATCAAACGTATGGACTTGATCTGGACTGTGTTGGGGTGTTTTATCAATATACAATTGCACTCTCTTACACACATATGAGCCTCTGGATTTGTTTCGCTAGTCAACCTGGTCTAACACAGATTCTCACTAAAAGTTTGGTGGTCAAGTCCACTCAGAGTAGAAGAGCATAATAATCCACGCCTGAAAATTCGGTCACTGAAAACTCTGTGGAGTGCAGTTCTACTCTGACGCATGTGGGGGTCATAATGAGTCAGAGTAGGCTGGTTGTTCTTGTGTGGTTTGGTTTGGTTTTGCCCCTGAGATAACTCTGGGAACCAAGTGCCCTGATCAGGTCCTCTGAGTCATAGTTTTATGAGACCGTGTTAGCATGGATACACGATCGACCATTGCTTTTGGCCTATTCATCTAACTGGTTCTCCAGTCTAGATCCTAAGCATTGTTTTGTTGGTTTGCTGCCATTCCTCTTCTAACTCGAGCTCAGCCCTCAACTCCATCCCTTTCAGCAAGAGCCTTGATGACCCGAGATTCATTGCCCCGGCGCTAGATCTGGGTTCTCAAACTTGGCACTATTGATATTTGAGGTTGCACAATTCTTTGTTGAGTGTATGTTTGGAAGCATTCTAATCTATCCATTCGATGCCAGAATCCCTTTGTTTCCCAAGATGGAGCAATGAATAACGTCTTCAAACATGGTCATAAGTTCCCTGGTGGTGGTACTGGTGGTGGTTAAAATTGTTCCCAATAAGTAACCTTTCCTCTGCACTCTCCTGACTCAGAAAGATCATTCTGAGATGTGAGTCCAGAACACACTTTTAATCATGAATTTCTTACTTTTTACTGCTCTTTTTCTTTCACTAGATTATAAACACAGTGAAGGCAGGATGCTTGTTTCCTTTCTCACCTGTGGTTTAGTGCATGGCATGGAATAGACCCTTGATGTTTATTTTATGAATTCCTGGGAGCCACAGATATCTAGGGATACATGCTGGCTAGAATCAGACTTAGGTTGGCAGCATCCTTTAAAGAGGCTGTGTCCACTTGGTCCTTTCCATCCTCAGCCTATCAGCTTGCCCTCCTCAGACAACAGAGTTGCCAGTAAGTCATGAGATATGGAAATGATTTTCATAGTAAACACATACTAACAGGAAGGTTCCTGACATCAGAAAGCAATAGACAATAAGTTCAGACTGGAAGGTGACTACTACTGATTAGGATAATGGAGATAATCTGAAACTTGAATTGGGCTTTAGAGAAAGAGGTGCTTTGAAAACGAGGAAGTGGACTTCGCCCCAGACACGCAAAGCTGCAGCCATGGCGGTCACCACGGAGGGCGCCCGCAAGAAGGAGCGCGTCCTTTGCCTGTTTGACGTGGACGGAACGCTCACGCCGGCTCGTCAGAAAATCGACCCGGAGGTGGCCACCTTCCTGCAGAAGCTGCGTAGCCGAGTGCAGATCGGTGTGGTGGGCGGCTCTGACTACTCCAAGATCGCTGAGCAGCTGGGTGAAGGGGATGAAGTCATCGAGAAGTTTGACTACGTGTTTGCTGAGAACGGGACGGTGCAGTATAAGCATGGACAGCTGCTCTCCAAGCAGACTATCCAGAACCACCTGGGGGAGGAGCTGCTGCAGGACTTAATCAACTTCTGCCTCAGCTACATGGCCCTGCTCAGGCTGCCCAAGAAACGGGGAACCTTCATCGAGTTCCGGAATGGCATGCTGAACGTCTCCCCCATCGGCCGGAGCTGCACCCTGGAGGAGCGAATCGAGTTCTCAGAGCTGGACAAGAAGGAGAAGATCCGGGGGAAGTTTGTGGAAGCCCTGAAAACCGAGTTTGCTGGCAAAGGCCTACGGTTCACTCAAGGCGGCATGATCAGCTTTGACGTCTTCCCCGAGGGCTGGGACAAGCGTTTCTGCCTGGACACCCTGGACCAGGACAGCTTCGACACCATCCACTTCTTTGGGAACGAGACCAGTCCTGGTGGGAACGACTTTGAGATCTACGCCGACCCCCGGACCGTCGGACACAGCGTGGTCTCTCGGAAGGACACCGTGCGGTGGTGCCGGGAGATCTTCTTTCCAGAGACAGCCCACGAGGTGTAGCCAGGGTGCACCAGGCCCCATGATCCAGAGCGAGAGAGCCTGGCCAGGTGTGGGCTGACAGGACCTCTCCTCCTCTGGCCAAGCCCCCTGCACCACATGCTCCTGTTTCAAGGTCCCCCAGACAAGGACAGGCCAGGGTCTGGGTGGAGAGCCACCCTAGCCGGTCAGCTCCTGGTGGGCCCGGCTCCCACCCTCCCAGGGTCTAGCCTTACTCAGGAAGGAATGTCCCCATCCTCAACCCCCTGCCCCAGGCCCCAGCTGTGCTTGTCCAGACAGACGGTTTTCTGTCAGTGCCAGCAGGAGGTGTGTGATGGGGTGCCAGTGACAGCTAGCCCATCCCATGCGGTGTGCTGCGGGCGGCATGTTTTAGAGAACTTTATTGTCACGAGTATTAAAGTTTCTGGAACAAAAAAAAAAGAAAACGAGGAAGTGGGAGAATAAACCAGGGGTTAATTTTCCAGTGTTCAATGTGGGGAAAACAATATGAGCAATGCAGTGGGTGGGGGAAACGTATGGTGTAGGTTGGAGGGTCAGAATTTTGAGGAAATGATCCTTCCAGGGAGGAGACATGGACGTGATTCCCCCCACCCTGAATCAAACAAATAAACCCTCACTCCCCTCAAGCCGATCTACTCATAACAACCTTATAGGAAAGGGTAGAACTGCCATTATGGGTTTCTGAGATTGTAACTGTTTATGGGAGTAGAAAGCTTCATGTTTTTCCTGTGGAGCAGTTGGTGGTTTTGAACTGCTGACACCGCAGTTAATAGGCCAACACATAACTCCCGCACCACCAGGGTTCCTTAGAAAGAGGCGTAGGTATGAAAGAATGCAAGGCATTTTTAGCATCTCTTGGTGGAACTACGTACTGTCTGGTTGTTGTTAGTTGCCATTGAACTGATTCAGACTCATGGCAGCCCTATGATTGGTGAGTAGGATTTCTCTATAGGGATTTATTTGCTGTAATCTTAAGAGAAGCAGATCACCAGGGCTTTCTTCTGCATCACTTCTGGGTGGGCTTAAGCTGCCAACCTTTAGGTTAACAATTGAGTGCTTTTCCCCACCTATCTGGAGTGCCTTTTATGTAAACAGTTAAGGGTCCTCTGGAAGAGAATTCTCCTGTCAGGTCCTATTATGTATCAGATAATTACCCTCCTTAAAGTCTTCACTGGCTGATTTTCAGAAGTAGAATCTCAGATTTTTTGTCCTGGTCTGCTTTAGGCTGAAAGCTCCACTGAAGACTGTGCAATATTACACACACACACACACACACACACACACACACAGCCTTCATTAACGGGCAAGTAGAGCCTACTTTTTTGTTTGTTTTCCTATTCTTTATTTTTTCCCAACAGTTTTATTGGCAAGTAATTTACATATCATACAATTCAATAGTCCAATCATTCAATCATATCAAGGAGAAGTGTACAATCACCCCCACATCAAATTTTTAAATTCATGGGGAACTAATCAAACCTGGGTCTCTTTCATGGATGGCCACACTTCTATCATCGAATCACCAAATGCCCTAGTCTCTCTGGCAGAGAGCAGATGGGAAAGGGGTATACTTGATCAGCCTCAGTATTCATTCAAGTAAAACACACGGGCAACATTATGCTAAGTTGATAGGGAAAAATAAGATGCAAGATTATGTAGGAAGTTTTGACAAAATGATGGATGAAAGGGCATGGGTCTAAAGTCAAAAGAACATCCTGGGAGCTGACAGCCACAGAATGACCTTGTGGTCTTGAGAAAGTTTATTAACCTTTAGGGACCTCAGCCTCAAAAATAAAGAAATAATAACCTTGCATGTTTTGGGGGGAGGATTATATAAGATAACATTTGATTCAGAGCAGATCCTTACCAAACACTTCGTGGAATCTATTGTTTTTCACATGCCAAATATTAAAACATGGCTTAAAACTACATGATTATCATAGTGGACTGCTGGCACATGGATATACAGAGAGATCATAGATAACAGATTAGAAATGAAAATGTACAAAAATCAAGAATGTTAATATATGTAACTGAACTGGGCTAAGTACATGTTAGCTGGAAGCCATTTCATTTTTTATCGTCCCTTGGTCAAAAAAACCCCAAACTCACCACCATGGAGTCAATGCTGACTCACAGTGACCCCTGTGCGTTTCCAAGACTGTGTAACTGATGATGGGAGCAGAAAGTCCAGTCCCCGGGAAGCTAGCTCTCTCTAAGGTATTCAAGGATCTAAGAAGCAAGTGTGTCAAAACTCTGTCTTTCTTACTTAGGACATACATCAGGAAATACCAATTCTAGAAAAGGCCATCAGGCTTGATAGAGAGTTTGTGAAAGCAAGGAAAACCCTCCATGATATGGTTCAACCAATAGCTGCAACAATAGGTAACAATCAGATTGTGAAAATGGCACCATGCCAGGAAATGCTTCATTTCATTTGTATATAAAATTGCCATGAGAACCTGCTGGAGAAGAATATTGAAAATACCACATATTGCTAAAAGAACCACCAGATCTCTCTTGGAACAAATGCAGCCAGACTACTCCTGTGTTAGCCTGGGTAGACTAGGAAAACAAAGACAGGGAGGCTCATATGTGTATAAGTATAAGCTTTGTATACAAGAGAAATTGAATATTGAGAAAACATCCCAACCCAGTCCAGATCAAGTTCATAAGTCCGATATTTTCCCATATATCCAATACCAATCTATAAATTCCTCTTCAGACTCACATAGCACATGCAATGATGCTGAATGCAGGAAGATCACAGGCCAGCGGGTGCAAAGTCTTGTGGATCAGTGGCATTGTGAGCATCTCAGCACTCACAGGGGTCTCCATATGGCTACTCTGGTTCCAGAGCTCTGGCTGCATCAGCATCAGACTTGTCATCAGTAATGTCTCACAGGAAACGAGTGAGTATCCCACCTCCAGTGAGCTAGTTAACTCCTTAGCACCCCTAAATGAGGTCATCAAGCTGTGACATGGTTGACAGGCTAAACTCCACCTCTTCACTCTCAAGTCTCAAATTGACAACAGTTTATGTAACTACCACAGCTCCCTCAAGGCAAGGTTAGAGAGAATTGTTGTTACATACTTTGCACAGGTTGTGAGGAGAGACTAGCCCCTGGAGAAGGACATCATGCTTGGTAAAGTAGCCAGGCAGAGAAAGGCCCTCAAAAAGATGGATTGATACAGTAGCTGCAACAGTGGGCTCAAATGTGGGAACAATTTTCTGTTCTGTAATCTAATCCAGAATTCCACATTAAATTTAGAAACACGGACTCCCCACTAAATATCAAAAAGTGTGCTTTTACCACAATTGAAAAGCCCAAACTCACTGCCATCGAGTCGATGCTGACTCATAGTGACCCTGTAGGCAGAGCAGAACTGCTCTTGTGGGGTTTTTAAGACTCTCTCTCTTTCCGGGAGTAGAAAGTCTCATCTTTCTCTCAAGGACTGGCTGGTGGTTTCGAATTACTGACATTGTGGTTAGCAGCCCAACACGGAACCCACTCTGCCACCCATGCTGCTTCGATCATCATTAGAGGGAGAGGACACGTGTATGTCTGTGTCTTGGTATTTGTATGTGTTGGTGGCATATACCCCACCCCCGAAATCTTCATCTCTAATATGAGGTTAGCACAAAAGATTTCTTCAGGAACTAGGAAGGTAACAAGTGTTCAGGTCAGAATAATATTTTTGAAAGTAGGTCAGCACAGAAGAAACAGCTAAAAAATGTAAATGTAGTTGCCAGTGATACCTGAGACCCGAGGGAGAGATTGAGGCACAGGGCTGCTGCTTTGAACTTAGCAGACACTTTTAGTATCCTGACTTGTTAAATGACATATAGATATGACTTCTGTACAAGTAAAAATGAATGCAAATGCAGAGTGCGTAAAATAAAGCTTCTTAAAATCAACTGATATATATGTATTGATAGATATTTCAATAGATTCAAGGCTAACGTATGGATAAGCCAGTCACATGATCGAATGATGGTATCTGAAAATACATACAATCTCTGGAGGATCCAATATACGCAAACTTAAATAGCAAGTTAAAACATTACCAATCAATTCAGTAAAGACTATTAAACGTTATAATATTTGACAATGATTTCTCCGTATTAAGAAAGACAGCTAACAAAATGAGGAAAGTGTGCTGTGGTAGGACTTTTTAAAGTATTGTATGGATGCCAATCAGGAGCCTTCAAAATATTCATGTTCTTTGAACCAGTCATTTTACCTTCGAATAAAGAATTGTACTATCTTCAGGTAATAACCTAAAATATGAAGAACATTTTATGTAAAAATAAGCGATATTTGCAAAGCACCTCCACCACCATTAGAAAATACTATGGCAATAATATTAAGGTTTATAAAATGAATAAGAGTTCATATATCTAGCATGGTTTTAACTATGCCACAAAATTTATTCCTGAAGTGAATGCATTAGTATTAAAGTTTAGAGATAGTATCACAAAGTGGTCTGATCACAGTTGACTTTGATTTTGTTCTTTACATGTTTAAAATCATGATAGCGCATGGCATGTATCACCTGGAAAAAATAGATTCTATTTAAAGAGCGTGGGGAATGGCTGACACAGGCAGGTATTGTCAAGTTGGGGACTAGTCTTTGACTCCTCTTTTGCTCATCCCCTCTCCTGTTCGCTTCCAGCATTGTATGTGTAAGACGTGAGGGCCTTGGTTGCAGGGTGTAATTGTTAGCTGTTGCGCTGGCCCCTGACACAGGACCACCCCATGCACACTGGAACAGAGCTGCCAGGTCTTGCCCTACACCCATGTCGATTATTGATTGGATCATTGTGCCCCAGGCATTTTCATTAGCTGATTTTCAGAAGTAAATGATCAGGCCTTTCCATCTACTCTCTCATAGACTGGAACTTCTGCTGAAATCTGTTACACATTTTACAACATTTTTTTTCCATTCGCCAAACTGTTCCTGACTATCTTTTTGTCCAATCCTTACATGGTGTCTTATACCGGACAGCTCAAAAGCTGGAGAAAGCATGACTTTCTCTATCAAAGAGAGTGAGCCTCATGGGAAGTCACAAGTACGTTAAGTACAGTGCAAGGAGGTATACGCTATGAGGTTGTACCTCATGACATTGTGAATTTTGGCAGATTGAAAACCATCAATGAGAGGCAATTCCTATAGATGTGATAGGAGAAGAGAAGTATTGCAGGAGGCTGCAGATTATATTATCTCCCAGGTATATTTTAATTTTTGTTACAGGAACTTTCTTGTGGTGGAATTTCAAGCACTAGGTGACTTAATTTTTAACGACAAGATGTTAGCAAGAAGGGCTTCTGATTTTGCTTGGCTACAGTTTACATGGGAGAAGTCAATGATTTAGGGTGCTGAA